ATGATGATAATGTGTGCAATGATGATAATGTGTGCATGCACGCAATGATGATAATGCGTGCGTCAATGTGGGTGCTTATCATGTGGCAGGCGTGCGCTCAGTCATGAAAGTGTGCCCGTGAACGCAACATACGCCCACTGCTCCAAACCCGCGCGCAGGTCGTCAAAAATGGCCCTGAAACCCTTGTTTACAGTGGGAAACGAAACGCGAAAAGCGCGCGGAAACACCCCATCGGAGGGAACAACAAAATAGACCTGCGAACGGCATTGCGACCTCGGGCCAACGCCACAGTGACAAATTGAGATCAAAACTTAAATAGCCCAAAGCTGGCAGCCGACCCTGGGCATCCCATTTGGAAAACCGAGATTGCCAACTGGGCAGGGCTGGTGCGCAATTGGAGGGGATCGTTTTACCCTCAAGTCTCCTTCAACCCCATGTTTCGATCACGAAACAGGACGATGCTGTAGCCACTCAGCTGCTGGCAGTTCCCGCGTGGGAGTGATGCACAGCAGGGCTGGCCTCAAGGTTGCGCGGAACATTGGGCACAAAGCTTGCCTTGGGTCAGCAAAACCAAACAATCCTCTACACAATTCAAAGCAATGATTCCTGAAGAAGTGCCCTTGAAATAACTCCTGCCTATTGAGGATTGCCCAAACATCCTTTCCCTCGCCCTTGACAAACAGGGACATTGCTGCATTCATCTGAAAGGCCTGGAGACGAACAGGCTTACACCACTTTGCCAAACTTCAACTCTGCAATCCGCTCTGCAGGTCTGCCGGCAATTTCGAGCATTCATTCCTTCCCGCCCTTGGCTTGGCTGAAGGCCATGGCAGTGCTTACGTACATGGCTGGCTGTATCCTAAAATTTGACAACCCCCTTGTACAGGGAAACCACAAACAACAACTTCTGAAGGTACTGATAGAACCGCCGACATCCACCGTGCTGGAGATTGCAGTCACTCTTGGGAGTTGCCAACACTGGATCGGGTTCTTAGACTAGCCACATGAACAATACTCCCCCGCAAAACAAAAACAACCATGTTCGGAACAGAGAAACAAGGAAACCACCCATTTGTGTGTGTGTGTAGGTATGTATACCCATGTTCAGCTCAATCAAGAGCGAAACCACAAGGAAGACCACAAGCGTTCCTAGGGCTTAGGGCCAAGTCCCCATTTTCCGACATACCCACAGGGTTTCCACCTTCGGGGACTGACTGCGCGGCCCTCGCTTGGTGTCCACCTCCTGGCTCTTCTTTAGCTTCCTGGCCGTTTGGCAAACCCATCTTTCTCGGTCGCGAAGCAGGCAACAACAAATTTGGCTGTGGGTCAAACCCTGTACCCCTGGTCAACATCAAAAGTGGCAAATGGATGTTCATCCACCCCACCATGGAGCCATAGGTTCTGCCCATAGGTTCTGCCCGATGGCCATTTCTACAGTAGATTCCATGGGGGCGATAGATTCCCAAAAGAAGACATTTACATGAGTCCTCGAAAAACCCTCGGTACCAGCACCATCCGGAGAAACAAACAACGGAAAGACAAAAAACAAGAAACACACACACACACATACACACACACACACACCCACGCACCCACGCCCGCACGCACGCACACAGAGACAATTTTCCCAGACGGATCAGACGGTCCTCAGCTTCACAAAGCCTGGGAGCAAGAAGGCCAGCGTCTTGCCACTGCCCGTCTTTGCCACGCCTGTCGATTGAGAAAACTGGCCCAAGCAAAGCCCGACTTTCAGGTGTCCTCTGGCTTGGGGTCGAAGTGGTTTCCTTGAAGCGGTCTACGAATGACTCGTCTCCTTTAGGTGGTTCCCTGTAGGCAGTGTCTTTCAGTCAGGTGTATCTAAAATGGGTGGAGCCTGCAAGTTGGGTTCGCTTAGTTGGGTAAACAAACAACCCCAATCCCCGAATCTTAGACTAGAGCCGACAAGTTTCAGTTAGACAAGCATCTGCTTGACAAATATGGATTCATGTTCATCCCCAAGACGACATCATCACGTTTTAACTTATAGGGTGGATAACCTTTGAGATTATAGGAAATAGACATCCAATACCAATAGTTGTCCACAATTATGATTGGACCAGAAGGTAATACACAACCCTTCGGAAATTGGCTTGGCGGCTCTCAAGCGAATCCTTGCCACTCAATGGAAACCTTTTTTCAAACATTGGAGCTCTCATGCATGTCTAAAAACCTCAAAGTTGAAAGCTTGCCAACTCACAAAACAAGTCGGCTGAGACGATCTCCCTGTCTGAAAATTCGATCGAACACCTCTTGTTCAACTGGGATCAGCCCTGCGACGCCCTGGGGCCGAAGCCGACTAGATCCTTTCCAGACTGGAGGACAGGCCAGGAGTACGCCTCCGGCGAATCTGGACTCGAAGCCGCGGCAGATTCTGGGGTGGACTTCCCCTTCATCATGGGGGCTGGGAGGGAGGGGGAGGGAGCCTAAATAAGCCCTGAATAAGGGCTTAAGGGCTTAATAAGGGCTTATTTGGGCTCCCTCCCCCCTCTGCTCCCTCCCCCCCAGCCCCCATGACTTTAAGATTTGCTGTATTTACTTGTGTTTTCATAGAAACAGCCGTTGCTGGAGATTCCGAAAAGGGACATGATCAAATTGAGCGACCTCAAATGGTTCGGGCAAAGTGGTTCAAGCATGCTACACACGTGATTGTCCTGTGCAAGCTGAAACCTGTCTGTTGGAACCCGTTTGCAGTCCCTTGAGTAAAGTCCACGGCGAAGTTTACTCCTCTCTAACTGCAATGGGAGTGGACAAGCGGGCCTTTGAAGAGAATGGTAGTCTTTCAACACCCTCCTCTGCGCTTCCATGATTGTTGGAAAAAGGAGTAACATCCAACCCCACAACGGGGCCTGTGAAGGAGCTTCAACTTCCACAAATGAGAGTTTCTTGGGCTCCAGGTTGATCTGCAGGGTGCAAACATTGCCTTTGGTCTCAACCAACGCAGTCCATAGCCCCAGCGGCAGGAACGCACCAACCATCACTGAAGAATGGGAATCACTGAAGAATGGGAATCGCCCACTCTGCGAACGGAATGCTGGAATTTGCAGAAAATCCCTCTTGGCTGGGTGCTAATGGTGTTTTTGGCCTTGATAGAACGGTCATGGACGCTAAAGCATTCCACTTTGCCATTGCACTTGTCATGAATCTCCGTCACAAAGCGTGCCACCTTCTGCAAAGCGCCGTTCTCAAAATACATACACATGAAAGTCCAAAGTGACACTCTCAAACTGTTCACGACACGATAATAACAACGACCCCCACCCCCTTTGGCAAATTTGGAGGACCCAGTCAATCCGCCGTCCGACGTGTGTGCTCCGCATAGCGGAAAATGTCACAGCAGCTATACGGGCTTGTCTCCAATAGGCGGACCCTCAAACAATTGTAGCTTTCCGTTTGTTCTCAGCGGGCGCCCTGAAAAGGCACACCCTTCCAGAACTTGACCTAAGATAAGCCCCAAGAAGCCACCCTGGAACCGCTTTAAAAAACCCGCTTTAGAAGCAACCATCTTCGGCTAAACATGTCCGAACAAATAGGTATGCTACCTGAAACCAACACCCCCAAAACAAACGGTAAATACCCCATACCAAGGGAATTATTCTAGGTTGCCTGCCCTACCAGACAAACTCCCCAACTGTGCATTGATTCTGATCCTCTATGGTCAAAATCGTCTGTGACGACGCACACAAACAGCCCTTTGATTGTGGAAACCATCCACTCCAATGATATGATCCTTCTTCAAGTAAAGAATGAGCCATTGGAAAGGCAGAATTCCTAGCGAAGTGGATGCACAACTGCACAAGCCCGCCCTGGAAACACCACACCAAACCACCCTGAACAGACTACGCGCCGCCTGGGCTGAAGATATGCTTGTCACAACGGGGGAAGATGGCAAAGGTGTGATGACATGCGCATGTGGACAAAAAACAAACCACAGAGCCGACCCGGGCTGACACTAAAACCCATCACAGGAGTTGTGGCCCAAAATCAGGAGCCAAAATATCTGAAGGGGCTTACTTGCCACTAAGCCAGGTAGTGGAGCCTCTAACTTACATGCCCAATATGGACTTTGAGAGCTCAGCCTACACATTTGCCATGGCAGCAAACCTTCGCCCCAAACTTCTTGTTCGCCACTCAAACGGTCTAAACCCAACACAAGTGGGGGGGTGGGGGGGGGTTAGACAAAATGGGCCTCTCTCTGGACCGACCCCGTGCCACCGATCGATCTCTGCCGCATGTCAAAAAAACAAACAGGGGATCCCAGAAACACAAAAAAACAAACAAACAAACAAGTATTCTAGGGGTACCTTCCCCATTTCGAGGAATCCTTTCCAGAAAACCCCCAGAACCCCCCCCCCAAAAAAAAAACGGCTGAATTTTGAAAAGAACGATGGTTCAAAAGAATGGGGAATCAACCCCAGAAGTATAGTCCAACTTGGGAAGCGAGGCACTCACCAACTCCGGGCAACTTTTGATCACTTGTGGCTTCTTGGCCAAGCAATTCGATCTCGACACATTTGTTTACTCGGCGCAAGCGGTGCACAGAAGGTAGAAGCAAGAAGGATAGGGAACGTGTCTGCCTTCTGTGCACGCTTGCAGCTCACTTCCGGAGTGGATTGGCCAACAAAAGTCAAAACCTTGTGCTTGCCACTAAAACGGTTTTCTCCGGGAGTGAGCCAACTTAGATCCTGTTCTAAAACGTGCCATCTGTGATAGACGGCATTGAAATCTTAAATATAATCGCGCAAAGCACGGCCTCACGTCCTATTCTTGCTGTACCAGGCTTCTAAGCCACGGCCCGAGGTGTTCTCGAATTGGAAGACCTTTGCCGACTCGAAGTTCAGAAACGACCAGATTTCTCGACCACTCGCCATCTGTCTGTGGCTCAAAAAACCGGTACCAAAATGGAACCCTGGTAAGTGGAAACATGGACCAAAACCCGCGTAACGCCTCGTGTTCAATTTTGAGCCACAGCCATTTGATTCTCCCATCGACTTCCCTTGGGCCAGACATCCGAGCTCAAAGCTACAGGCGCAGCGTCACGTGCTTGGAGAGCGCGCGCCCGAGGACACGCATGAAGTCCCCCACCCGGCCCTGGATGATGACCTGAACGCAGTTCAGCAGTTCTCAGCTTTAAAACGATTGCCTTGTCCTCTTCCATGGTCGATACCCAAAGGAATAATGGCATATCTGGGCCGATCCAAATGGTTTGCTTTTGTCACCCAAGGCAAGGACTAAGGAGAGCCCAGCACATATTCTGTGTGCTTTGTTTTTGAGGCCCCATTGTCAGGTTGCTTTAAAGGGACACAGGAAAGCCACCTTGACGGGAGTCCCCCGATTTTTTATAGCATATGAAAGGGAAACTCGAGGAGATACCTTTAGAAGCACAGGTTAGCCCTGCAGGTTGAAGCAACTAAGGACATCTGTAAAATCGCCTGACGCCGTGATCTTCATGAAATTCTTCAGGACTCGAGTCCGTACCATTTCGATCACCTTCCTGACTGGTACCGATGATTCATCGGTAAGTGTGAGGGGCTCAATTACGCACATTCAAGGCCCTTTATGATCTTGACTTACTTTGGTTTCAAAGTACCACAGAACCCCGTTCCACTTCTTGGGCCCTGAGATTCTGATATTCAGGGATAGGGTACTTGGGCAAGTAACTCTCTTGGGAGCGTCATTTAAACCACTCGGCTGGGCCTTGGGGTCGAACAAAACCGGCTGAAGCCCACAGCGCTGGGCTTCAGCCGCGCACCTTCGGTTTCGGCCAGGGGGAGCCTTGGCTTGAATCGACCTGGCTTCTGATACTGATCTCAAAAGCAATCCCGCCAGTGTAGGGCTCCTCAAAGGATACATCCAAAATCACCTGTATCAAAAGCGGTCCTCTAGATGACAAAGATCATCTTTGTAATTGTATTGGGCAAAATGCATCCTTCAAGCGACCCTGAATAAACAACAACTAACCGGCGCGGCTATTGTCAAATGGGATCTCTTGTGCGATCCAATGGGATCTCTGCAGCTTGGCATCCTCAGCCTGGCAAGCGCCCTGGTGAATGATTAGAACCACACTGCGACAGACGCATCTACATTCAGCCAACAAAAAAGACACCCAACTGCACATGTTGCATTCTTCTAAACCCTGAAATCAATTGAATCCCCAAATCGAGGACGTGCACGGCGAGCTCGCTCCGTTTCTACCCCGCGAGCCAAAAAAAACACATTCCGCCTTCTCGAGGAAGGCGGTGCAAGCGAGGTTGATCATGATCACACAGAGCAAATGTAGCCGCACTTTCCGCGGCATCGCGGGGCAATACCTCGACCGATTTTTGCGTTTCCTGGATGGATCCAATCAAACTGAGCTCGAAGAGAGAAGTGTGTTCTAGCTGGGGACTTGTGATTTCCTATACCTATACTGACAAAGGATTAAGGCTGAAACCGAAGAGCAAACAAAGACAAACCAATGAGCAACAAGCGGCCGCATTTGACATCACTGCCAAAAATGCATCAAATTCAATGTTCTGCATTGCCTGACGTGCTTGACGTCGCCATGGACTTCCCTCTTGGTGTGTGAAAATGACGTGGCCAAGGGGGCCTGGCCCTCTCTTTGCCAAACAGCAGGCGATCCTCTCTAACTGCAAGGGACCTCTGTGGGAGTATATATATATATATATTGTTTGTCATCCCAGCCAAGGGCAAATGTTGTAAAAGCAGGCCCTATGGATGCGGACCGATCGAACAAATGGGATGGCGAAGACCCATCCGGAGTTTGTCGGTCGCTTATAGCCAACAAGGCGGGCATGGCAGGAACGACTTCCTTAGGAGTGAAGCCAGTCACATGTTGTGAGAGCCTGCAGTTTGTTACCAAGCTCTAGTTTGTCACCTGGGTCTCAAGCTGGGGGACCACTGACAATGTAGGGTTTCCTGCTGGATTCCTTGTTTTTGTTTTTTGTTTTGTTTTCTGAACAACAGCTTTCTATCTGGCTGGTACATGGAACCTCCCACTTGCTCACTTGCTCGTGGGTTTGTGGTAAACTAGACAACCACTGCTCCTCTGCTGCTTGAAAAAGCAGCCAGCCATTCTGAGGCACACCTACGTGTAGGAGCTTCTGATGGCCCGAGGCACACCTGCCCGGATCCGTTCGACTTCTCATGGGGGCTGGGGGGGAGGGAGGGGAGGGGGAGAGAGTCCAAATAAGCCCATATTAAGCCCTTAATAAGCCCTTATTTAGAGGTTATTTGGCCTCCCCTCCCAGCCCCCGTAAACTTCTCATTTTGGCATGAAATTCATATTGGGGACCCGAAATGGTGGACACCATTTGGGTGGGGAGACTTATGTCCACCAACCAAGTTTAAAGGGTTTCCCTATCGTCATCATCACCATTATCATCATCGATGATAACCATCATCGTGCATCCTCTGCATCGCCAACAGTCATGATGATAATGATGACTACGCACCCTCTGCATCTCCAATCGGCTGTAACGGGACTTTTGAATCGTATATGAAAAAGATAAGGATCCTCATCATAGCCATGGCCCATCATCGTCATCATCACCGTTATCATCATCGATGATAACCATCATCGTGCATCCTCTGCATCGCCAACAGTCATGATGATAATGATGACTACGCACCCTCTGCATCTCCAATCGGCTCCAGCGATGGAGGCTCCTCCCTGTTGCCCAAGTCGCGCTTGCCCGGCAGCATAAGTAAGCCCTCATTTTAAGAAACATCTCCCCTGCACATAGAAGTAATGGGAACGTCACTATATAGAGGATTTCTATCAGACTAAACCAGACTTAGACCACCTGCTGGTTGAAAGGAATAATTTTTGGACAATTGGAAAATGCAATAAGCAAAAAGTCAAGAAGGTAAGCCCTTGGTCTGGCAATGCAGATCTCAGGCGGGGACAATTGCCCTTCCCTCGATCCGAGCTGCTCGTGTTCCGTCCACGGATCCGAATCGGTAATGTCCTACGCTGCCCCCTTGGGCGTCAGAAGGCGGCCCGGTGACAGGGAACACTTTGATTGGCCAACGTTCAACTCGAATCTTCGGATTGAAATCTTGTCTACCATCATTTCTTTAGAGAAGGGCAAAGATGTAACACGGTACCAACCGTTGACCCAGTTTTTGTTCGACAGCTTTACAGTAAGTGAGAAACCAACAAAAAGGGATATAGAATGCTTCGAAGCGGATGTTGGCCCCCATGAAAAGCACCTGTTTGAATGGCAATTCTGCTCTTATTAAAGAAAACGTGACCCGCAATCAAACTTGGTAAGGAGGTTCAATCCAAAACCCAATGCAAAGAATCAAGCAAGGGCAAACCCGAAGCAGTTTGTAGCAAGGCGATCCCCAGGTAATCTCATGTCACAGAGCCATAGCAACAGGGGATCCCCAAGGTAAGCTCAACTCATGGGCCTTCATCCCCCTGGCCATGCCCAAAAAAGGGCGCCTTGTTTTGGCGCTTGAGTGTAAGAGCGAAACCTCCGAGAAAAATGAATCACCGCTCGGTGTCTGGGTCAGTCATTGACCTTCTTTGGGGTCAAGAAGGCAGCCCTGGCCAGCGGTGCGTTTCCCCATGTAACACCAACTTCTTTTGGTGTCCACTTTACAGAGTGCCTTGGCCCAACTTTGGGGTACACTAAAACAAGAGTTTCGGATTCTGCTTCATTCATGTTTAGTCTACCCTAAGTAGACTAATGCATTTAAAGGAGACCCCTGTGTCAGGAATGCCCGGTGCGAATGCGCGAATGCGGTTTACTGCATAGTCAAAGGAGTGACTCAGAAACCATGGCTTTCAATGTCGCAAGAGGCCTTTGAGGCAAAGGGCACCGTGTGTTTGCCGCTGAACAAGCAATCGTGCTCTAAACTGCAAGAGTACCCCCAAAGGCTTTTCCCTGGAAGAATGGGTTTGATGGGTTGCTGCCAAGAACCAGCAAGTTCTTGGCTGATGTAAGGATTTTCTGACTGGCCAACGTGAGGAAACCCACACATCCCCCCAAAAGGATTGCGCAGAATACTATCGAACGCGTCTTCCTTCTCCACCAACCAAACGGGGGATTCCATATTGCAGAGCTTAGAATAAGTTGGTACCCGATATTTTGCTGTAGCCTATGTTAGTAGGCGAACCCTCCCAACCAAAAAAGAAAGGGTACCAGGGCACTACTGTTGGGTTGTTGGGCTGCTGGGTTGTTGGGCTGGTGGGCAGTCATGGTTGTTTGACTGTTGGGTTGTGTTTGCGCTGTTTAAGGGGGGACCTAGTAAGTGATGAAGTCTTACCCCGTTGAACTCTCCTCTAGGACTCCTTCCACAGGCTTGGAAGCAGGATGGCCGAAGCTCGCTGGTTTTCTAGCCGCCAGAGGGCCGCCCGACTCTCATGAGAAAAGGGTCCCTAAAGTACCCGGTTTTGAACAAATCAATCTAAGGTGCCTTAAGGTACTCTGAGGCACCCCTGAAAAATCGAATAACTTCCCACCACCTCCCTCCCCTATTGAGATTGGCCGAGAAAGAAAGGGACAAAAACGTGCAACAACTCCTTGATCGCAAATAGTACGATTCATCAGCCAGAAGTAGTGGAAGCCGACCAAATATGTGTATCTAAATGGTCCAGACCCGCCCAAAAAAACCTTCAAGTCCCGAAGTGAGCATTCCCTACCTTGCCCTCGCATGCGTTTTCACTGTTCGGCTCCTCAAAGACCAGGCGGAAGAACCGGGTCAAGCTAGTGGGGCCGCTCAGCATGAGGTAGGTCAGGAAACCCAGGCTGACGCTCACCAGGACCTTCAACTTGCAGGCTGGCAAGGGCCAGCAACTTGCTCACAATGAGGCAAGCTATGGCGGGATGTGATAGCGGAACACCAAATGTTGGCTGGTTGTCAGCTTTCCCTTTTTTTGCCGAAAAAAGTAGACGAGATTTGGGTTGGGTTGACACAACCTTTACCGAGGGTTTCAGAAGGTTGTTGTCAAAATCCGAAGGAGGAAACCTCCGTGAAAGAAGCAAACGGACCAGAGCGGACTCCAACCACAATCGACAACAATGACGCCTTATCCGTTAAGCGACTGGTCCAGCTTAAGAACTGTGCCTTGCCAAAGCTTGGAGGTTGTTCTGGACTCGTTTGAATCAACCGACAAAGGTCCACTGTCACCAGGCCCCCACCCAGATCCTCCCAGTTCGACTCGAGGCCCGGGCCATCAGCGCCTCGTGCGCGTGTAGAAACGGGAAACCATGAGAAGAATACGACCACATCGTTAGTTTCTTTTGGTCTAGGGGTATGCTGGACATTTAGGGTCTATTGTCTATGTTGCAACTATCCTACATGTTGGGTGTTGTTTCTGGGGGTTCGTGGCTGCCAAATAGGTGTGTCCCCTTCCTCAGTGGCCATGGGAACATCGGCACCCCACCCTTTGCTTGGTTTACTTTATTGGGAATCCCTGCCCCGCCCTGGGGTCTGGGACGTCCCTCAACTAGCTTCAAAGAAGTTGTAAACAGATGGCCGGTTCCTTTGTAGACCCACCCCGATCGATCCCTGCTGCCCTCCAAAGGGAACTGTAGACAACCTCCCCTATGTGTGCAAGACAAAGCCCAGTGCCACCGTCCAAATGTTGAGCGGAGATAAGCTAACTAGAAGCTTGGCGGTTATGTGAGCGGGCCTTTCGCCTCTCAAAGCATGTCACACTTTCCCAAAAACTGAATGGGTTATCATAAGCATCACCATGGTTGTCACTGCAATATCTGGTTAGTGCCCCTGAGACCAAAGCGAAATCAGCTCAGGGATCTGGGCAAATTATACCCGCAAACTGGCAATAAGGAATCCGTTAAGCCAAGTGAAAGATCTCATCCTGGGCTTAGCCGCCCTACCCCTTGCACCGCTGCCTGCTTTCTTGGGCAAGGCCGGCCCAAGGGCCCTCTATGGTGTGGGGTCCTTTGTTGGTTCCCGGCACCCTGCCCTTCCATGTTGATGGTGTACGAACGGAGAGTCCTCCGAAATCGTCCGAAGTTGATGAAGATGTGTCCATTTAAATTAGAGGCCATGTTGTGAACATCACATTTTCACCGATACCAACTTTATCACTCAAAGCACACAAATCGGCCCTAAAACCAAGTTGGCCACACGTGAAATCCGTTCCAGGGGCGCGTTCCCTGGCCCAAGCGCGGAGGAGGGGCCAGATTCCTGTGCCAGGCCAATCGGAAGACGTCCCCGAAGGAGTACACCACTGCGGACCAGAAGAGCTGGAAAGTGTACCTCTCGTTGCTCCGAACTGTACAGCTAATCTCCACCTGAATGACAATCAAAACCCGGTAAAATGGTCTACCCAGACACCATGTAAGGAAATACGAAGGCGGACATCCGCAACTATTTATGGCTGGGAGTGTCCCTTACTATCCTTCATCTACCCAGGCTTTGATTGTGGCTCACCTGGCCTGGACATACAGGGTGGGTCACCCAAACCTAAGGTTGCTGCAAATCATGTAAGCGTGTTGCTGTTTTGCTGGTCAAGGGAAAACCAAGAAAACCCAAAGGGCAAAAAAGGAAGACTATTAGTCCAGTCTGGCAATAAAGGTTGCTTCACCAAACCATTCCTACTTTATATTGGAAGGATGTGGGGGAGGGGGGGGGGGGCAGGGTTCCCAACACATTGTGATCGCTAAATTAGTTCGCAAACGTGTTTTGCTTATGTGGCCCCAATTTGCCAACGTATCCTTTAGGCGGCTCTGCTAAACCATCCCTCCCTATCTTAGGGGAAAGGGCCCGGGGGAAGAGGGAAAAGCAGGTCACCCCTCCCCGAACTTCATTTTTGAAGAACAGTTCAAATCTCTGGTTGGGTCCCAGGTTCTGTGACATTCGTCTGAACCTCTAAAGCGGGTGCTCTCAAGAATTTCAAGTTTGGGAGCAATCAGGCACCATGATTTTAAATCAAACAACAAGGATGTAGCACGCCGGCCGTGCAAGCCCCAAACTAGCAGTTGTTGAGCCGGGCCCAGCGATTATTTGTCTGTATTTGGTTTGCGTTGGAAGGATACATGATCCAACCACATTTAGCAACGATTCAAAATACACTAGCCGTAGCATGCAATCATTCTTCAGGACGTTGATTTTTTCAAGCCCAAAGTGGGGAAGAAGGCCTTCAACCAACCCAGAAGGTCACCACTGCCGTGCTGGGTTCCGCTTTGACCAAAACTACACCACAGCAGCCGGGTGCTGCCGCAGGCACGAGAAGAAGAGGGTGGTGACCTCCCAGTTGGTGTTCAGCTTCCACCACTGGGTGATGCGGACCTTGTGCACCTCAGCCAAACCCAAACCGGGATTGATTTCCATGGGAAGGTCCCACGTTTTTGGTGGTAGAATTCTGCAGCTACAGAGGGCCCCGAGGGAAACCGGGCACCACTGGGTCAACACGGATGTCTTTTTTCGGAAGGGTGTCCGTGTTTGGGGTGTTTGATTGAAAGTAACACAACGCGACAATTCGACAACCAGCAAATGTGTAACGGTTTCCCTGTGTTGAAGCCATGGCTCCTTAACTAGGAATCCCTGCGCTGGTGGCTGCAGTCCCGTTGAGAAGCAGCCCTAGTCACCCAAGTAAGTTCAAAACGGGAACTTGAATAGGACCCCTGAAAACTCCTGCTCGTGACCTACTAAGTGCAGGCTTGGGTCGTCCCCTTGTTTCAACATGTCTAACCCGGTAAGTCTTTGAACAACCACCCGCTGATGATTCTTCTTTCAAGGAGATCAGGAGTTGGTTCTTTGAACACCAACCCCTTCACATCCCTCGAGCTCTGGCCCCGGCTGGGAAGGGCGTGTATTCCTCCTGGCTGGTGATGTAGGCCCAGGCCACCTCCAGGAAGAAGGAGTTGAGCAGCAGCATCCCCATGACGGAGAAGACCTCGGCCGAACCAAGCCACTCCTGGCCCCACATCTGGGGTACTCCAAACGTGAGATGTTCGAATTATCCTATATATTTAGTCTATTTCATAAACAAAAAAAAAATGTTTTTGGAGGAGACCCCGGAAATGACGCACGCACGCCGCGGCCTGGACCGGATCCCCGCTTCTAGTTTACTCTTTTAAACCACGCTTACCTGCCCTTTTATAGACAAAATCCAAGATTTCATATGATCCGCTTTCTATGATCATCTTGTTGCTCCCTTGTGGTTTATCTCCTGTTCTACGGATCCCTATTTTACGTTGCTGTTGATCCTTGTGTATGTCCGTTCTTGCTTTGTGTGCCCCTGCTTCTGTCCCGCCTGTTGGTTGTTCCGCTTTTCTCTTTTGCGCTTCATGTCATGTCTGCGTTTTATATGGTGGTTTTCTGCATTTTTCCCTTTTCAATTGTCCCCTTGTCACGTGTCCCCATCAACTATACATAAAGTGTACCCAATGTAGGAACATGAAACCACATGGTTGTTCCTTCAACTTCCCTTTAGACCAACCTGAACACGGGTCTGGCTTTCTTTAGGGACCGGGTCCCCCAAATGGTGGGTTTTCCTCTTGGCTTCCCTTTAAACCGCCAAGAACAGGGGTATACCCTCAAAAGCAGGCCATGGGTTAAAATCCCGCACCCCTTGTAGCGAGCATCCCAATCCCAACTAAAATAGACTAAAATGAGTGGTGCACCTACCCCAAAATGGGATCCCATTGGTTTTGACCCACAGCCAAATGAGTCACAATTAAAACCCGGTATTAAATTGGTCGACCCAGATCCACGTAAGGAATTAAGAAGGCGGACATGCGCGGCTATTTATGGCTGGGACTGGCCCTTACTAACCTTCATGTACCCGGGTTTTGAGCACGTGGCTCAAATGGCTCTCTCGCCGAGGCCCGGGGCCCCGCGCCGTGAAGCCTGAGAAGAGCGAGGAGGTGGGGCGGTTGGAGGACAGAGAGGGCGCCGGCCGCGCCAGGCTGATGGCCCAGGACAGGCTCAGAAAGCCCAGCAAATCCTCCAAACAAAAGGCTCAGGTGTCGCTTTCCTTTGAATTTCCCTTTAAGTGGCTTCCCTTTAAGTTCCCGAAGTTTTTGTGGCTTCCCTTTGGGTTCCCGAAGTTTTTGTGGCTTCCCTTTGGGTTCCCGAAGTTTTTGTGGCTTCCCTTTGGGTTCCCGAAGTTTTTGTGGCTTCCCTTTGGGTTCCCGAAGTTTTTGTGGCTTCCCTTTGGGTTCCCTTTGTGGCTTCCCGAAGTTTTTGTGGCTTCCCTTTGGGTTCCCGAGGTTTTTGTGGCTTCCCTTTGGGTTCCCGAGGTGTTTGTGGCTTCCCTTTGGGTTCCCGAAGTTTTTGTGGCTTCCCTTTGGGTTCCCGAAGTTTTTGTGGCTTCCCTTTGGGTTCCCGAAGTTTTTGTGGCTTCCCTTTGGGTTCCCGAAGTTTTTGTGGTTTCCCTTTTGGGTTCCCGAGGTTTTTGTGGCTTCCCTTTGGGTTCCCGAAGTTTTTGTGGCTTCCCTTTGGGTTCCCGAAGCTTTTGTGGCTTCCCTTTGGGTTCCCGAAGTTTTTGTGGCTTCCCTTTGGGTTCCCGAAGTTTTTGTGGCTTCCCTTTGGGTTCCCGAAGTTTTTGTGGCTTCCCTTTGGGTTCCCGAAGTTTTTGTGGCTTCCCTTTCATTTCCCTATGTTTTTGTGGTTCACAGCGGAAGAGGACCCCTCGTTGGTTGGCACTTGAAGGGAAACAACGGGAAACCGGGCAACTTTCCTTGGGGGGTATCCCCATGTCATGAGTGATATCCTTTTGGTTTCCCCTTTCAATCCAAGGGTAGTAAGGGACAATCCCAACCAGAATTAGGTGCGGCCGTCAAAACCCCTTCACGGAAAATGATCTTGAGATTCCTCGGACTGGTCTGGTCCTCCGGAGAAATCTGAAGTCACTGTAAAACAAACCATCTGAGTCACAATCAAAACCCGGTATGAACTTGGCCAACCCGAACCAAAGTAAAGAACAACAAAGGCGGCCGCACCAATTCTTGGTTGGGATTGTCCCTTACTACCCCGGTTTTGATTGTGACTCACTTGGTAAGAGGACCAATCCGAGTTACGGCGTAGCCAGTTATGTGTGTCCTTCTTTGACCATTTGTTGGGGTTTTGACGAGAAACCAAAAGGACACCACAATTTTCTCGGCCCCCTACAAAATACATCATGTTCGAGGACGGGAGGGTAGATCTCCGTTAAATCTTGTTTCCATGAAGGGACCATGACAACTTGTTGCCAAAGTAACCCCATTCCATGTGGCTGAATGAGATATGGAACCCCAAAAAACAGTATTGCTCTTGACAGGTTGCAGGTCGAAGGGTCAAAGAGCGCCCGTGGGGGACCACGACGGCAAATGCGACCGCAGGTCCTGGAAGTAGGCAGCGGCCATAGATTGAGCGATGCCTGACAAACTTTGGACGGCAATACTGGGTTGCTCTTCCTGAGCAAATGATAGATCACATTTGGCAGGTTCAACGGAAAATCCATTTGCTAGCCCCAAATGGTGGCTATCTTGTCAAGTTCCCTCTAAACCATCTCAAAAAGAGTACACTAAAAACACGCGTACACACCACACCTTCAGGGGTTACGATTCCCCCGTTTGGCACAACAAGTTCCGTGCCAAGAAACGAGGTCCACGGCACCAAGCCAGGAGAAAACACATCTGGGGGTACCCCCGAAGCAAAACATGGGCTTGCATCCCCTTCAAAAAAAAGATTTTCGCCCAACAACACCTACATTTCTAAGGCTGCCACCTGTTTGTGGGCCCTCAACACGAGTTGTCCAAAGTTCCTAAAGGGGTATGGGTTCCCCATTCGAGGGTCAACCAGGGAACCTGCATTGGAGGGGTCAGAAGCCTTCGGGATTTGCAAACTTGCAGTTCGCAGCATGTCAAAGGTGCATCATCGTCTTGAAAGCAAGAACAGTTGACCAACAAGGCTTGTTGAGTATTGTGTCAACAACAGCACAATCTCAATACTGTTCCAACCATGCATCCAACATGTTAAACACGGAGCAGCCGGTCAGCAAGTCGAAACAACCACATAACTTGAGGGCCGCCTTGCACCCTTGGCAAACGATTGAGCAGTGCCCAAACCCATTGACGGTTGGTTCTACTACGATGGCTGAAAGGATTTACATTGGGCTTCTCAAAAACAAAAATTGCTACTGTGAATGGACGAAATCCTGCACCACCTAAGAAACCCTAGAATGATGTGATCCCTCTGTAAATACCAACAAACAATGGTTTCCCATGGTGTTTTGGGTGGTGCGAAATGGATTTTGTCCATCTACAGTAGTTGTAAGAACCAACTACTACACTGGCCAATGTGTTTGGGCGCAGCTCACCAGTGCCCACTGCCCTAGGGGTACGTGCCATTTCCATTCTTTCCAGGGATCCGAATCTTTTCAGGAAACCATCAACAACCTGGGGAAACAGCTGGTTGTTCAAAAGAACGATGGTTGAAAAGAATGGGGAATCAACCCCTAGAGCTGCCCTTCAGCTGAGGGCTCACTGCCCTTGGCAAAAAGCAATCAAGGCGCCATACCAATAGGTCTTGAACTTCAGCACGGAGTTCAGCAGCCCGTAATGAATGCCTTGCGCAGAGTGTCCGCTTGCCCAAGGTGAGACTGACCAAACGGCTTGGGGCAACTTCATGTTTGATGATTAAACACCTGTGTGACCACTCTCCTGTACCGCCCCTTTCAAAGTGGTCCAGGTATGGTGGAAGGTCGCTCCCTTGGTCGATTCAAAGTGCACATGACTGCATGCGGCATGACACGCAAGCCCTACTCACCCGGGTTTGTCTCATTATCTCAAGCTAGGGGTACCCTAACGTTCGAAAGTTGCCAGTGTCCTTGTGGCGTCCCTTTGAAACAACCAGACAAGAGTTGTCTCAACAAAGGCACGCCCACAAGGGCCAACCAATGTCGTCCATCTTCCGCGAAAGGCAAAGCAACTTCAGACTTTGGTCCGACTCGCAGATAACTTCGGCCCCGATGTCGCCAATGAAAACCAAGGGCCTGATACATGGTTGTGCACGTGTCTTTCTTGAGTACCCCTTTTCTTGGGCTTGTGAAAGGAAAACACAAGGACAACCACCATTTTCGGGGGATCCCCTCTTTTTTGTGGCTTTAAAGATAAAGCAGGACAAGCCATTCTGGGGGTCCCTATCTTACGAAACGCAACAAATCTGGGTAAGATATCATCATTCAACAACTCAACAACCTCCTTGAAGTAAGCAACTCATGTGTCGCAACCTGCCAGTGAGGTGGTTTTTGCAAAACAAGAAAGGCGATCCTTGTGGAGTACGTACTCATTCCTCAAATTCAAAGGCTGAATATATCAACCAATATATATCTAGATATGTATACCCTGGTATGAATCGCTATTGTATGCTTAATTAGATTCAAAGGTCAATGAAAACGCATTTTGAGGGTCCCCCCCCCATTTGGGTAGGTGTGAAAGGGGACCCCAAAATGCCAATCCTCCAGCAGAAAAAGCCTTGGCGACAAGCCCTAGAATCACATCGGTCTCAGGTCTCAGGGTCCGCAGGGTCACTTTAGCCAAGTAAGCCCAAAGCCAACAGCTTGCTGCAGCCAGTACGCAGCATGCTTGTTGTGTTTTGGGAAGGTGTTAGGTTTTGTTCAACATGAGCTTATGTTCGCTTGCCACAGGCAGTGTCGCAAGGTGGTACCTTGTGTTTTCTTGTGAAGACTGGCTTCTCCTACGAAACAGTTGGCTGTTGATGTGGTGCATAGGACAAGATGGCAACTTCATTGGGGAAAAGGCTGGCTCGGTGAAAATCAATCCTTTTTCCTTCTGCCAAATGGTAGTATATAGCTTCGCTTCTAGTGGCGTCCTGCAGACTACGGATAGGGAAAACCCGGAATTTTTGAGTGGACCTACACAACCCAGGTGCTGCAAAAACAAACAAGGGTCATGCCAGAGGTTGGTCTTGACAGAAAAGACGCAAGCAGAAGGCCAGGGTTTTCAATGTGTACACTCCCTCTGCCTCCAATTGTTGGCTCAGAAGCTACTGAAGCTCCAAGCCGCTGAGATCAACTCGTGCCCCGACCAACCCAATCTTGTATTGTTTCAACAATAATCGTTGCCATGCATGATCATAGTCTCAAACTGTGTTTGTTGCGTGTGTTCTCATCCCTGAAGAGACCTCATTCGAAGAGACGCCTTTTGCTTCTATGCCAACAGCAACGAATGGTGTCAACCTTGACCTGTCTCCCGATTCAGCCTCTGAAGGCAAAGTGCACGCTGCACACGCTGCGCTCAAGCTCTTTCAAGGCTATCTGCCAAGTTGCAGTACTTGTAACCTGCAAAGGAGGTGGCGAGAGCACCTGCAGGGAGCAAAGTGGGCAAAGAAGCAGCCATATGCAAGCCAAATTAGAGATCAATGGGAAATGATAGAACATGCAAAGAGCAGCATGATATGGCCTAGCCCTGCTCAGACTGGCAATGGATAATGACGTGTGTGTTTGTGCGCGCATTTTCAGAGGGAAACCACAGGCGCTTGTTCTCTCGGAGACAAGCCAACATTGTCGAGTCATGGATGACAAAGGGCAGCCAAAGGGAAGCCACGGACATCCACAGGCAAACCAAATGGAAACCAAATTGACATCAAGGAAAACCAAAGGGACACCACGGGCAAATCAAAGAACCAAAGAAACACAATGGACAAGCAAAGGAACGAACAAGCGCACAAACACAAGTCCAATTCCAACAGGGAGGACCCCATGCTTGTGATCGAGGCATTGGTTTGGCAAGTTACGCTCTCCTGCCTTGCCATGAGACTGGCGAGGCCCTGTTTTGTCGCTTGATGTGAAGGATCGGTCCACCCCAGAAGGCATGCCTGAGGCCAAAACCTTGAAGCCTTCTGAAAGCCCATAATCTTCCCTGCCATTGGCTGACCTGCGCAAATGACTGGCCAGAAAATAAGCACGTTCTGGGTCTCTGCTCAAAAGAAAGAAGACCTCTACCCACCAACAGCTTCAAAGTTTGTCGACTAAACGGGGCAGTTGGTCACATGTTCTTTTCGCCGCATATGGCAAATGCCGCACTGTAAATGCCCAAGGGTTTCTCCTTCCTGCATACTTTACTTCCTGAGTGGATTGGCTCAAAAAAGTCCTGGAACCTTTTATTTACCACTAAAATGCTCCGAACCCAACCAGTTTTCTAAAGCCCAACTCAGGAAGCGAGTTACTGAATCGCTTCATCGCCTCCAAACCGCATCCCCCAACCACCAACCCCCAACCCCCACCCCCCACCCCGCACAGCCGCGCCTCGCCCCTCCCGCAGCAGGTCTGCGATGGGCGCTACCGAGGGCCTCAGAGTTGGTTCCAGGAAAGGTGGCAAATCCCTGGGCAGATAAGGACACTATAAGTTCACGCACCAACACATATACATGTATATGTATATATATGGGCGGGGGACCTATACATGTGGATCCTTGTCTGTCCGACTAACTCACACTTGGATGTGGCCCAACAAATGGAAACAACAAGCTGATGGGGTGGCACAACGATTGTTCATTTGGGTCCGAAGTCGCAGTACTTTGCGCAGAAAAGTGTCCAGACCAAAAGAAAAATAGGAAGCATGGGACAGAAGGGCAAAACCAAAAATATAATAACAAAGACAAACCAGGAACCACACCAAACGAAAGCAAGTGACAGAAAGACCCCCAAAAAAAACACATAGGATCAAACAAACACTATTCCCTAACCCCCCCCCCCCGCCCCTGGTTTGCTCCAAATAAGACTCTCATATGCTTTGAGGCCGCAAGTGAGTCACAATCAAAACCCGGTATTAAAATGGTCGACCCAGATGCAAGGGGAGGAAAACGTGCTTGTCAAACAAGGAATACAAAGCAAGCAAATAACCCATGTTTGATTGGGAAACCCGCTGCTAGGAGCGTTTCACCTACCTTCACAAACAACCTCCTGTTGGTTTCCCTTTCATGGGGACCGGGGTCTGACGGGCAAAGCCCACTTTGCAGCGAACCCAACACAGTGAAAGACCTGCGTCATGTCGCTGCCATCACATTGTTGTCAGCCAGCGCATTGTTGGGCTGGGCCCACCCCTTGCGCTTTCTGCAGCACGTCGCTTGGCAACTGCCCATTGGCAGGCCCAAGTGACACAGCAAATCCAATCCAATCCAATCCAATCCAATCCAATCCTTCCGAAGAGCCAACCAACAAGGGGAAACACGGACACACAAACCGCAGGAGCCAAACTGGGAAAGCCAGTTTGAAGGTCTTGCCGTCACGGGTTTCATTGTGGGTTAGAATCCTGTGAGCCACAAGGAGCCTATTCCCAAAATGAGGCCTAACAAACACGCTCGACGGGGAGTGTTCTCCAAATGGACAAAGGAACCCCAATGGCCATTTGGGAGATGCACGGAATCCAATGAGAAACACCCAACTGCTCCAAATACAAAAATAACCCCCACGAACCCAAAACCCAAAACACACCCAAACGAACAAACCCAACGAGCAAGCCCCAAGAACCGAACCCCCACAAACAAAAACCCTGCTTTTGCTTGAGTCCCCTGGAAAAAAAGAGGCAATCTTTCCATTAGTGATAGCTTTCCTTTAAAACCAACAGGGAAACATTTCTTAACCAAATAAAAGAGCCCCCAGAACTTAACCCCCGCGAACCACCCACAGCTTGCATCAGCCGCCGAGGCGCCGGTTGGTGGTGAAGGGCGCCACCACCGTGGCCGAGGTGGCGCTGCTCAGCGCCATCCTCGGATCGTTGAGCCACAAACATCGGCCCGCAGAAAGAGGACGCACACACACACACACACGGGCCACACGGGGGGTGTCTCGGTTTTTTATCTAGGGGTACCCCGATTTTTTCTTCCTGTTTTTTTGTGTGTGGGTCTGTTTTTTTTGGAAAAGAGGGGAAAAAACACCACAGAAAATTGGGAGGGTGACATGAACAAAGACAGACCCACACACACACACACACACACACACACGCACATTTGGCTGCTCAATAAATGGAATCCCCGAAATGGCATGGCATATGGAAACAAAGACTAAAACCTGCGTAACCCCAAATGTTTGGTTTTGAGCCACACACATTTCCCCATGACTACAGAATATCACTTCACAGAGCTCCTTACAGAAACTAGCCCAGGAGCACAACTCCCTCGAGCGAGGATGACAAACCATGGGAAGGCATTTAATCGTAAATATCACCCACCAACAGGATCCCCCTTTCAACTGGCCCCAGAAGTGTCAAAACCACCAGAAAAAGGAATGGCAAAAAAGGGGTAACATGCGCACATGAGACCCTCTAAACGGGCTCTAGAACCATTGCGTTTCGCCATTTATTTCCCTTTTTGAGGGGATTAAAGCTGGAGCCGGCTGAGGTAGGTTGTAACTTATGTGACTTTGAGAATGGCAAACCCATGGCACCATCAGGACCAACACACCTGGGAAATCAGATGTTTGCTCCGAAGACTCAACCCGTAGACCTTCGTGCCTTTAAACGAACGGGGCTCACTTGCTGCCAAGGCTCCCCACGTGCGCCGTTCGCAAGGCCCCCGAGTCGTTGCCGCCGTCCCCGACCATGGCACCTGGGTTTAAGGCTGTTGGCTCACGCTGCGCCAAACTAGGAACGCTACGTCAAACTAGGAACCTGATTTGGGCGTTTGTCTAAGGAAGGCCCCTTTCAGTTGGTGGTTAAGAGGAACCAAAACGAAAAAAAACACACAATTATTATCCATTTTTGGGGGTGCCCCAATTTGGAGACATAACTCATTTGCTCATCAGACTTGTCTGATTCTGTGGATTTGTCCAAATCCACTTCAGGCCCCTGCCAAAGGGGATCTGACGTGGATGTTGCAGCCATTCAATTCATCCAACGATAAAGCCCAGGTGCACATCAGATTCTGCGACATGAAGCCCTCCACCACCTGCAGTGCAGAACAGCAAATTCCGAGCGAGTCGGCCCCTTTTTGCGCACGGCTCAAGGCAACTAGAAAATGGCTTGTTCTAAAATGGGTGGCTTAAATTGGGCACCCGGAAATGGTGGTTTTCCCTTTGGCTTGATGGACCATGCAAGGAGCTTGCAAGGAAACTCTCCAAACGAAATTGGCAGGTGGTTCCTCATATGTCCCCTTGATTTGTATTACCGGTGATAGTTTATACCTGTCGAAACCACCCACAAAACAATTGTATCGCACATCACACCCGCGTCAAATACCCAAAAAGGGGCATATGCGTGCGTGCTTCTCAAAGTGTATGCAAGCTAACCAAACGGCACCACACACAAGCACGCGATAACTCTTTTATCCGAGCAGTGTGTTGGTGCCAGGGACTCATCTTCCCCTGTCAGATGACAAAGGCTGGGTGGGCCCCATGGGCCACCCAACTCACAATGTGCAGACTGATAGCGCCCGCCCCTGAGCCGGGGCCCGTGGCACCCAGGCCACAGGGGGGTCTGCCACCAGGGGAAGTGAGTCACCCACCGGCTCCGGTCACGGGAGCATGGGTGGGCCCACGCTGAGATCAAATGCATCTCCATTCAGGAGACGCGGGAGAAAAACGAACTCCTCGCAGAGTTCCTGCTTGGGGACCCTTTGCAAAGGGTCGAACCCAGAGAAATCTGGGTGCGTCAGCTCATCAGCCCATTGATTGAATTCACGGGGCACGTGGTTGGCCGCCAGCGAGCAGCCATGGGTGTGGAGCAGGAAGACCAGCTCCATCAGGATCGCCGCCGTGTAGGGCTTCTTGGATCCAAGGTTGAGCATCGCCATGACGTTGCCCTGATTGTCACTGCCCACCGGGAGTCGGACCCGGGAGGACAGAGGGCCTTGGTGCGTGAGGATCATGTTACAGAGGAAGAGCGTGCCCAGCATCTCCAGAGCCGCAATCCTCCGCTTGGGATCCCCATTCTTGAAAGCCCAAGGGTACTCCTCCACGTGGATCTGCTCGTGGAACCAGTACACCTCCTTCTTTTCCGGCTCCACTTTGTTGGAGCACCAACCTCCCACAAATGCCAGTCCGTCGTCCGAGGCGCTAGCATCGCTGCAACCCCACCAAGAGGACTTCGGCAAGTAAGGGGAGTACTGGACGAAAGGCGTGTTGAAGAGGAACCGCAGCATGAACGCCAGCATCCTGACCACCTTGGGGGGTTTCCCCACCGTGGTGGTGGCCATCTTCCAGGCCCAAAGTGGCTGGAGCATCGACTTCGCCAGCGGACATGCAGCCGTCGCCCATTGGATGCGACCCAGGGCCTTCTCGATGTCCTTTGAGTGCATCGCCTGCCCTTCCACCATGGTCTGCAAAACCTCCATAACCAGGATGTGTTTGTTGGCTGCCATGAGAACCTGCGGGATGTTCGGGTGGACCACGAAACCCAGCCACGTGTTAACCTCCGCCAAATGCGTCTTCTTCCAGCTAAGCGGGGTGCCCAAGGCCAGGAGTGTTGCCAGCAGCGCCACCGCCAAGTTTACTGCCCCCTCGCTTCGAAGCAGCCACAGGAAGTCATCGACAAAGACGAAGTTCCAATCCACTTGAGGGAAAAGTGCGTAGAGGACCCTGAGCAGAAGGGCTGCCAGGCGTCCCCAGTAGGATTGGGCACTGGCCATGCCATATGTGCCTACCTTGTTCACCCACCATTCTTCCCCCAGTGAGCCAACTTGGAACCGCCAGTCCTTCCTGAGGACCTTCACTCTCCGGTGGGCCTTGGTGACGTCCGCCTTGAGCAGCACCCACCTGGTGCCCGGCTCCGGCCATAGCCAGCCCCCAGGTGGAGGTTTGACGACCCCCCTCTCAGGGCCAGGGGCACCCTGAGAGGGGGGTCCCTCCGCAGCTGCCGCATGTAGCCAATGAAGAGCTTGGACCCCATCCAGCACCGTCGGAGCCGTCGTCCTTTCCACCGTCTGGTTCCTGATGGTGGCATTGGCCCCTCCCACCGAGCCATCGTATATCGTGCGGATCTTGTCCCCCTCGTCGATGCCCGCTAGGGGGCCGGGACAAAGGTCCTCGATTTCGCAGCCACAGCGCGATGCTGCCTCCACCTTAGTGAAGGGGCCCTCTACCATGCCCATGGGGACCTCCTCCAGAAATGTGCCCCGGATGAGCCCGTTGGGTGAGGGAGTTCCTGGAACTCCGGCTCCCCTTTCAGCTCCTTCTTGAATGGCCAGATGCCCGGCGAGGTCAGGGGTGGGTCCGTGACCCTCAGTGGGACCCCTTGCTCCAGATCCTGGCAAAACTGGTGGTCGTCCTGTGCAAGATGTCCGGTTGGCCGTCAGCTGGTCGGCCTGCCCCCCGGCGCCAGAATCTCCCTGATATCCTCCAGCAGGTCCTCCGGGAAGGGATGTGACCCATCCCCCAACGAGAGCGAATCTTGGAGCTTGTCCCCCCACGGCGAAGTGAGGACACAGATCTTGGCCCCCATCGCTGCTGCTTTGGACAGTGGCCGGGTCCATGGGGCCAACCGTCCCAATGAGGGCTTTCCTCCTCCGTCCCTTAAGGGACGCTGTTTGAAGGCCATCTGGAGGTACATGACCTTGTCGGAGAGATTGGGGTCGTGCGTGATCGGCAGGATGGTGGGCCGATCCGAGATCTCCATGCCATGGTGTGCCCATGGATCCGGGGAAAGAGTTCCCCCCCCAAGTTCGGGACCTCCGGATTGTCCGAGGCCGAGACCGGAAGTGAGCCCAAGGTTAGTCCTGCCAACGCTTGTTGGCCCGCCTTCAGCCTCCGGGACTGACGCTTGTTGTCCCCCGGCGTGCTGGGAGAAGGTTCCCTCTGCCGTCTCGGGGGGGTCGTTGGGTTCGCCTGGGGCGCCGTGCCCCCCGGCCTCAGCGCCTCCAGGACGGGTCCCGCTCGGCAAAGGATGGCCGCTGCGAGACCCTGCATCATCTGCTCTGGGTACCGGCTGAGGTCACTGGAGTTGAGCTTTTCCCCCCTGGGGTGAGCCCCGTGGTTGCAACGCAGATCATGCCAATGGTGAAGGGGAAGGTCCGTTGACAATGTCGTGGACTTCACAACCACCTGGCCCAGGCGGCACTCGTCAAACTTGATGAGGGAGTGGTGGAGTGCGCTCGCCCATTGAATGTAGGCCCGCGTGACCCAGATCGATGAGCACCTCGCTGCGCTCGGGCTCTTGCTGCACTCCATTGGGTCCATCGGGTGCTCCAAGAAGGAGGAGCCCACCTGCGGGACCGTTAGCTGACCTAGCCCCTTGTAGGCCAGCGAGGTCAGGTACATCTGTCGGAGCATGAGCACGCTGTCATTGTCCGTGTCCTCCATAACCCGGGGCTCCAAGTCCTCTAAGCCCCACAGGGTCTGCTCTGCCCCTCACCGGCGGCGGGCCACCCGGTTTGGGGAACTATGTGAGGATGCTCCACGTCCTGCAGTTGGGGCCGCCCCCCACCAAGGCGACCTTGCCCGCCATGGCCATGGAGTACATTGTAGAGTAAGGCTCCTCGCCCAGCATGTCCTGTCCAAGGTCTCCACCCTTTCGCCTGATGTCCACCGCCCAAATGTACTCCGAGAAGGCCGGGTTGTAGGCATGGAGGTAGGCATCCAGGGCCCCCGCATCATCCTTCCCAGCGTACAGCAGGATGAGGGACGGCTTTGACGACTCCGGCACCGGCCGTGGCGTCCACCTCAGTCTGAGCCTCAGTCTTTCCGGGATGTCCTGCATCCATGGGAAGGTGGGGCTTGCCCCCCCTACTAGGGATTCCGTGTGTCCTTTGTCATCTGTCCCTGGGCTTGCTGCTTGCCCTGGCGGTTCTTCCCGCCCTTGGAACGCCCCTGGCCGGGCGGATCCTCACCTCTGGGTCTCTCTGGGGGGTCTTCCCACTGCCTCGGTGGGTGCGGGGGAAAGGGATGCTTCCGCCCTTCTGGAGTGCCCTGGCTGGGACCGCTCCTCTTCCTCGGTGGAGGGGCTTCCGGGGCCGGTGGCACCCTGGAGAAGTCCCCTCCCATCTGAGGCCGTCCTGGCCTCCGCTCTGTCTGCCTTCCGCTGTGGCTCTGGTGGGGTTGGCTCTCCCCCTCTGTGTGCACTCTCGCACTGGTGGCCTGTGGTCCCAACTGAGACCGGGAAGCCACGGGGCCTATGGCACCCTGAGTGGCCTCCTGTCACTTGGGAAGGTGAGGGCATGCCTGTGGCACATGCTTCGATGGGGGGGCATCGCAAACCCATCCATCCTTCCTGACCGGGCAGTTGTGGGATCGGCCGCATGATCCCGAACACTTGTTGTGGAGGTGATGATCTCTGCAGTACGCCACCCCTTTGGGATTCTTGAAAGCCCAGTGGTCCGGCCATGGAACCGAGGGGGTGTTGGGGGACTTCCCCTTGCCGCCCTTGCCCTTCGGCTTGGACCGGGTCGGCCCCGAGGGCCAGGAGCCTTTCCCCCCCTTTTTGGGCTTCTCCCACTGAGTCTGCCACACCTTGGGTGCCTTGCCCTTGCTCTTCCCCTTCTCCGGCGCCTTGTTGAGGTGCTCATAGACCTCCCGCTGCCAGAAGAGGAAGTCGCCCCTGATATTCTTGAGGGCATCGGAGAGAGTGGTGCCCTGGTGCACCATCTCGTGGATCTTGCGCCATGCATTGCGCTCTGCAAACCAAACAGCAAGGTGGTGTCGCTCGGGGGAGGCTTCCTGCCGGCGATGTCTTCCCCATAGAACCAGGCATACCAATCATCCAGCTCCTCCTTGGTGACCTTCAGGTTGCCAAACTGTGGCAGTGCTGCCGTGCACATCAGGCGTCGTCCTGAAGGTTAGGTGCAAACGTTCCAGCTGGCGCCGGGATGTAGGGTGGCTCCTCACCTCTTCTTCATCCTCCCTGTCCCAGCCGTCCATTTCCTGGGCCTGCAGGCCATCCTCGACCGCGGTCGTGGCGAGCAGGGGCATGGTTTGGGCAACCGCACCACCGGTGGCGACCGCGGGAGCCATCACCGCG